CTGTTTCTGTTTCAGTTAATAACTGTGTTTCAACCTACATATGAAATTGATGATCGTTAGCACCTGCTTGGTTAAATTGATTAATCATACACTTGACTCTAATCCTACAAGATCCCTGACTTTGTGCAAGTGTAAGGATTGATGTTGGTGTGAAGCCAAAGGGTAGTCACACCAAATATTGATTTGATTTGGATTTCTCTTCTGTTTGCTCACTTTGCATTTTGTAAATTGATAAACAATTACAATATATATTTTTGAAAACATTCTTACTTTATGCCATTTTTTCACACCTGCCTACAACTTTTGCACAGTACTATATATTAAACAAAGAAGCAAACAGTAAACTGGTTCCTAGACACCTGAAGACTGTTCTTTGGACTTGAAGTTCCATGAGGCTGGCTTTGACTAGAAACAGCGTAAAGACGCATTGGTACAGTAACTATTTTGAAGGTCCTTTCCCACTCGTTTTGGAGCATCATATTAACATATGAAAGGAACAATCATTTTTATGAGAAGCTTCCAAATGTAACTGGAACAGGATATATATAAAGCAAGGTGTGTGTTAAGTGTCTGCTGTGGAAAAATGATGGCCTGCATTCATTGGCAAAGAAAAACTTAGATTTCGAATAAAGATGGGGGAGGGGAACTAGTAGGAGAGACTTCTAGAATGTTTCCATTTCTAGCCAGCCCTTTTCAAGGACACTATTGTCCTTCCTTTAACACTGCACTCACTATTTAGGGGCCAGTGAACATGCTGTTCTTGGGCTAATTTCCCCCCTTTTTTCTTTTAATGCTTTTGATTTCTCCCAAATCTTTATGCTCCTAACGTTTCTTTTATATTTCTGTAACCTCCTCCAAACCTGGCTCAAATAACATTTTACTAGTTATACTGGGACTGGCACAAGGAGAATGAACTTGCCATTGTAATACAAAATTGATTCCTTTTGCTATTGATTCTGTGAAGGAAAATGTTGGTGTTACTAGCCAATAGAGATAGATGGATATTTAAAAAAGGATAAAGCTGATACAGAGAATATTGTACTTACCATTTGAAGTCAAGATCCATGTTATGAAGTGCTTTGCCTTCTCCTGATATTGAACCACAGCTGTTACTTGGTATGAATATTCTTGAAATTGAAATGAGTAGGCCATCAAATTGTTATGTGGCAAGCCTTCAACAAAATGCATCATCAGAATTGAAGAGATCCTACCAAAAAAACACAATCTGTGATTTTAGAAGTAAAAAAACCTCACATTAGTGTTAATTACATCACCAAAATTAAAAACATGCAGCAGGATCGGCAGCTAAATATCAGTAACCTATCTATGAGTTTTCACAAAGTCCCCAAAAAATGCAAGACTTTTGGCAATAACATTCCAAATGAAATTATATAAATTAGTACAATTTATATAATCTAATTTGGGATGTTATTGTAACTCTTTCATAAATAGAATCCTTAAAGAGCAGATCCCCTGAAAAAGATCCATTTCCTAATTGACTTCTTCATATTTATATGATTCAAGAACCAAATTCACCCACTGTATTAAGCCAAGTCTGTTAACCATGGTTTGTTGAATAAACCACAGTTAGTTAGGGTAACACAGCATGTTATGCCTGAACATATATGTTATGGGTTGGCTTGATGGATGAATCCAGCCAATAATGCTCCTAACTATGAAATCAAGAAGTCATAAACACAGATCCTAAATATGTACATTAGCTGTCACTTATTATTGCTTACCAACCCCTGATGTAGTTTTATCTCATCTGGGGATTATAATAAAATTCTCACTTACTTTTCTAAAACCATTTTTCTTCTTTGAGATGTGTGATTACACTTATTACAGGGAGCAACATGAACAGCATTCAGTGGGTGCCACTCTGGGATTATATTTGTAAATGTCGTCATTAACTGCTGACACCTAAAAATAAAATGAATACATATTCAAATGAAACAAGTTTAATAATTTCTTCTTATTCTTACAAAATCTCATCAGTTGGGATAGTTAACATTTAAAGAATGGTGCACATTTACTTCATTTTAAATAATGAGACACTGTTCAATACTATAGAAGTTATATCTTGGAAATCTCAAATTCTGGAGGGATAATTTGAGATTGAACTCAGCGAATCCATCCGGAAATTTTTGTGACACAAAACTGTTCTACTTCAGAAATTCATAAAAAATTAACCATCAAGATACAGATCTCGTATTAGTTATAACCAATTTAGATTTTATAGATGGGTTATAATCAGATTGGTGCAAATTATCTCTTTGAAAAATGTGCTCTCCATTTAAGTTTTTCTTAATAGCACTCTTCTTCCAAATAAGTTTTTCTGCATGACAATATTGAATATGGGTGTTTAAAATGTTTGATTTTTCCTAAAAATTACATGTGTTTTCTTGTAAGTGTAGTCCCAACTTATTCGCCTTGTTTTTTTCCTCCCTCCTACTTTATATCTTCTTTTTTCTTCATCCTTGATGTTGTGCTTTAGTTTAAAAAGGAGAATAAATACTAATTGATTTGACCATAACAAATGAAATGAAAGGATTGAAGTTAGTTGTAAATTTAGGCTAAAGTTGGAAGGAAGTTCAGGATGAAGCTACTATTTTAATTTCATCAGAATTATTAAAAGGGGATTATTCTTTGTCACAAGTTTTGATTGCAATGGTACAAAATATAAAAGAAATTTCACACACACACAAACACACACACACAACTTTATCGATTAAGAATATAGTAGTATAGTAGTAGTAATAATAATAAATGTTCTAAGAATAGGATGAAGCGTACCTGGTTTCCTATTTTATGCTGAGACAAACATATAATAAGACACTTCTAAAATTTATAATGTTTATGTCTGAATGCATACTTTAACTTACAGTTGCAGTGGTTAGGGTAATTCCTGAGTGCCAGGAATAAAACCTCAGCCATTCTCAAATATTACAGGAGAGGGTTATTCTGTCTCAGAGCAAAATGCATACTAAGCTGTGACTCAAGATGCCCAGTAGGCAAATGACATGCTCACAACTGCCCCCTCCTGCCTGTATAATATATAATTTGCAAAACAGTGACTTGAAATGCATGCTTATACAGTACAAAGGAGGAAGGAAATGCAAAACTTTTAAAGAAACTAACCTATTGCTGATGTGGTAGCCACACTGCAAACATTCAAACTTCCAGGAAAAAAAATGGACAAAGAAATTCTCTGTTTGATGATCTTTCTGCAGAAGTAAAGGAAAAGCAAAAACTGGGCTTTCCTCCTCCCCTTTGAAGGAAAACACAAAACAAAAATGTAATGCTAATTGTTTCAAAGAAATGAATTGTGAAGTATATAACATACTCTAAAAAAAGGTATTTCATATTTTCAAGAAGTTATAAGAGACAATTCTTAACAAGTATTTGTATAGCGGCTTAAACTAATATGCATAGTAGATATTGCTGATGGTTCATATAATAAAAGGAGAAGGGATGAAAGGATCAAGGGCATTAATTTATACACCTATAAATATTTAATATGAATCTCTCTAGTTAGAAGGATCTGGAGGTACACTTTCAGAATACACATCTTGTTTTCTAGTGCTGAAAAACTAAAATTTATTTATTTGTTTATTAAATCACATTTATATGGTTGCTCATCTCACAAGAAGTGACTCTGGGCAGCGTACAACAATCAATAAAAACAACAACTATATAAAATATATAAAGAGATCATTATTAAATATAAAAATCATTAAAAATGGGAAAAAAACATAAAAAATTAAAATATACAAACTACGTGGAGAGAGGAGCACAAGATCAACCACAATGGGGCCATCTAAGAATGTCTCCAGTTCCCTGGGAGCAGTATTTTTCAGGAACTGACACTATAATCCTAAACATCTTTATATTCATTATGTAAATCTCTTTGAGTTCAAGAAATCCTGGCAAATTCTTATAAAGTTGTTGCCTTACATTGCTTTACAGATATGTGAAATATGTATATTTTGAGGCTCCAATCCTGTCCTTAATTATTTAGAAATATTAATTTATAGTATGAATTGGAGACCTGCATATGTAAGAAACGTGAGCACTTGCATTATAGAAGGATGCAGGGAATTCTGATAAAAAGAGGACAGAAAAAACCAGAAACTTAAATGGTCTAATTCTACTGTTCATACACACGCTATTGCTGATGCAGAATAAAAATGACAAAATTGACTAGTTAGCTTACCAAACAGAAAATTACTTGCTCTACTAGCCAGCATTCTGGGAATTCATTAAGTACATACTTTGTTTTATAAGAATATAATGCTGGTACAGCTAATGCCCAAAGTTATAATATGGTGCTACAAGAATTAAACATAAAGGACTCTTGGGGCTCATGTTCAATCATTTTGCTTTCTTCCCTTGCACTGAGCAACTCCCTCCTCCTTTTCCTTCTTTGCCAGGTTGAACACAGTAGCAAACTATAGTCTGTGCAAGAGTTTGACACTCTGATTTGTAGAAGCAGTAGAAACCATACTTTGCTATCTCAGACAACACTGCTGATTACAGTTTGCCTTAAACCTAGCATCTGGAAAGAATGAAGTTCTTGAAATGCCATGCTATGTAGCTGTGCAGGTTTGCACCATCAGTTTCACTTTATTATTTCAACATTCAGATGGCTTCTCCTCCTTTTACCAATGCTTAAATCAGAGTTATGCTGCACTGAACCAAAAAAATATATAGTCTGTTCCCTTCAAGAAACCCACAAACATGAATGCTACCGCACCTCTCTGCTCAGGTTCCCTAGCAACTGATATCCTGAGGAATACTGCCTCTGAAAGTGGAGGTAATATACAGCTATCATGACTAGTAGCTTTAGTCTCCATAAATCTGTCAATAGTCATCTGATCTAAAATAGCAGTCATCACACTTCATGGTGGCAAATGCCACAGTTCATTTATTTCCTTTTTATTATCCAGAATTTCCTATTCAGCCTTGTAACACAAGGTTTGCTTTCAAAACGGTTTCAGGATTAATCCATACCATCTTTACACTGAGCCAGGAAAGACTCATCTGAAAATCCCAGAGTGCTACTGCTAATGAGTGTGTGGATAAGCTAGACAAATCTACTGTTCGTCTCAATATACGGCTGCTTCCTATACCTTAAATTGAAATTCAAAACTCTTTATGTTTGAAGGAAGTATACTGCTAAATATTATTCAAATACAGTGGTACCTCGGGATACAAACTTAATCCGTTCCGTGACTCTGGGCGTATCCCGAGTTTTTGCCACCATGAAGTGTGATGACTGCTATTTTAGATTTTGCCACCATGAAGTGTGATGACTGCTATTTTAGATTTTGCCACCATGAAGTGTGATGACTGCTATTTTAGATTTTGCCACCATGAAGTGTGATGACTGCTATTTTAGATTTTGCCACCATGAAGTGTGATGACTGCTATTTTAGATTTTGCCACCATGAAGTGTGATGACTGCTATTTTAGATTTTGCCACCATGAAGTGTGATGACTGCTATTTTAGATGCCAGAGCTGGTCGTAACCCGAAAAATTCGCAAGCAGAGGCGTTCGTATCCCGAGGTATCACTGTATTACACACTAGCTGCTGAAATACTAGCTCACGCCCTCACGCTCAGTTTGTGAGTTTCCCAGAAACAAATGGCTAGCCACCATGGGATGAAGAAAACTGGCTGTATGGACTGATTAAGGATTGTCCTGTTTAGGACTAGATAAGTAATGCATGGCTCAAAAAATAGCAAGAATATCGATAAACACTACACCACTGAAATAAGAATCTGAAGTTACTGATAAATATAATCAAGTTTCCAGCTGATTAACAGATCAAACTTAGCATGTTAACGTATTAGCATATAACTTGGAATGTTTCTTCTGCAGCTCTGTTGAAAGAATTGGAAAAAAAAAAAACATAAGAAAGCAAACTGCAGTGGTTAAAAATACAGTTCAGAAAAAAAGCATTGTTTAATCATTCTTCCCCCAACAGCTTGCAAAAACAAACAAAATCCCCACAAACAGACATACACATTTAGCAACTACTTACCAAATTTACACTTCAGCAACGGCTGAAGTTGGACAAATATGATATTCCTGATTTCATTTAGATGGGATTCAGCTCTTGACAAAACATCTAAAGGAACTTCTGAAGCAAGTTCATCTGCACAAAACAGTTTGCTGATCAATGTGCTTTTTTCCAACACCTGCCATTTCCTAACCTGTTTCAGCCATCAACTAGATACAACATTCCAGGTATTCATAAGGAAAATAGTTTGCTACTTAATTCACTTCCTGCAGCCATCAGAACATCTGCTGACTAAAAGCTGCATTAACCAATCTATTAGTTAATGTGCCTGTCAAAGCCACACTTGTGTTCTGCTTCTTATGAAATGGTTTTTAAACAGCACTCTGAGGAAACTTAGGATCCTTCAAAACTGATCAAATATTCCCCCAGTCACCCACTGAAATAGGACTACTGATATACTAGCATTCTTGAAAAACTGTTTGCAAATACTAATGATCATTCTCTACAAGATGAAAAGGTCAGAGAGAGTTGCTACATTTTGTTCTCATTCTTGTTTGAAGATACCTGAAACATACCACAGAATCCACTCTGGTGCGCCTGGATTTCCTTATCAAACATTTAGGGGCTCCTTAGCAGACAAGCAGATGCAGGAAGGATTCCCCAAAGATCAGTTTGAAAATTCATTATATGCCTGGCATCACACTTGATACACTTGTAACTAATCCAAGGCCCAGTGAAAGTTATCTTCAATATCAAACCACCATCACATTTGTATTTTATCTGATCACATCTGGATGCTAATATTGGATGGAGAAGTGATCAGCAAAAATGGAGCTTTGGGGATAAATGTTTATTTTGGGGGCAGGATGGAGATGCTAAGAATGGCATGTGAAAGTGGAAATGAGACCCACAAAAAAGAAAAACTTGACAGCTTTTTAAGTGACCAGCTTTCATTAGAGGTGATTTGATTATTCTAAGATTTTAAAGCACCATAACTAAACATTTATTCCCCAGTATTAAAGATTGATGTACATGCTACAAACACAAATCTGATTCCAGAGGGAAACAAGGATAACGTAAGTCCTACAACGATTCTTACGTCTTACATATACTGTTATACTATAATGCATTTATAGGATCATAAACACAATAAATAACACACCTCCAAAATAAACAAATCCCCTAGATTGGGCTTACCCCTTTGGCAGGTGTTCACAAGTATAGTAGCTTGGTTATATTTTGTGAGCAGTCTCTGGATTACTGACATGTTTTTAGAGACTCCAGTCAGAATTATTCTTAGTGTTTCCAAATGTACCAGCGTTGACAGAATGCAATCTAACCAGCAGAGAGCATGTGTATTTCTCCACTGAAGCCACAAAGGCTCTTGCAGAGATGATTTGCTTTGTTGCAGAGTCTGAGACACTGATGAACCCATTTCAGAGCCTGACAATAGCTGGGTTTGCACACTGAGCACTTCTGGTGAGTTTTCCTGAGCTCCCAAGCCCATTTTCTGGTTGATGGATTTAGCTACATCAGAAAAAGTTGGCTGCTTGGCTTGTGAAAAATCAGACTGCCCTGACCGAGTCCAAATTAGATTATTTCCATTGCAGTTGGGAGTAAGATCAGATCTGAATGTCTGCTCAGCGTCCATCAAGTCATCAGTCCTAGTCAATTTTAAGCATGGTTCAATAGGAGAGGTCAATAGGTTTGTGTCAAGTAACTTTCTTTTCCCACAAGTGTCCTGAGATGGATAACCTTTTGCATCACTGGGAATTATAATAGTGCTTAGTGGTGCAGACCCTAGGGGGTAAATGCACTGAAATAAAAACAAAACAAAGACATTAGACTTACATTTAGTCTGAGTAGATTAATAACATATGATGCACATGTCAGGGATGAGATGGAGAAATAGCCACAGAAATGTAAACTATAGAAATTAAGCATCTAATTAAAAATTATTAAAATCCCAGTCTATTTTTAACAATACTGTTCTCTGATACAATATATTTTTTCACACACACACACACACACAAAAAGATCCCTGATCACTGCACAGGAACAAAACTATAAAAGTATTTGCTTTGCATAGAGTGTCTGTTTGAAAATATTTATTATTTATGGGGTGGGGATAAGGTGTTTTTGAAGGATATTTTTAAGTGCTGCTTTTCTAGACACCTGTGTGCTTATAATTACATTTCTGCTACTGGTTCCTTCCTGTATTCTACATGAATAAAGGATATTTCTAGCTTCCTTTAGTCAAGGCTAAATAAAACTTTACTGACTGGAGGCCCAAGACTCTAGCCACTCTCTCCCCCTTTCTCAGTTTTTTCCCCACTGATTAACCTGCCTTCCATTTCACTGCTGCAATCTTTCTTCATGTCCTTATCTTCTGGCGGTACTGCAGCCAGAGCTGTACCTGCTGCCTCTTTCTCACTGAGCCTGTGTGCTCCAGCCTCCTCTTCCAAGAGGTAGCAAGTGAAAGGTGAGAATGGGTTTAATATCAGAAAAGCCAAGAAAAACTTCATTATTTCCAGGCTCTTCCTGTTCCTTCCCTACATTTTAGAACATTGTGAAGGCTCCATAAAAGATTCTTCTTCCTCTGGTAACAGAACTTATTTTACCGATAAGACATTTGGCCGTGAGTACTGAGTAGCAGGATTCATGTATATACAAGTACCTGACGTAGGCAGGGATAGAAGCAGCCACTTAATATCCATGAATGGAGAGATGCTTAACTACATGAGTTTCAGGATGGGCATAAGTTTGGGGAGGCTGGGGGCTGCAGGTAATGAGATGGTGACATCACTTGAGGGGAAAGGGCCAACATTTAAAGCTTTTTTTGTATTCTGGGTGATCTAGGAGAATAAGATTCAACATGGGCATATTAAACTAATCTTAGGCTTTAAATACCTACGTTAGTTTTTATTTCATACTCCATCTATGCAAATTGGGGAAAGTGATTCTGGGACCCCCCCAAAATGGGTCTGGGGAACTGCACAAGTCCACAGGTTTACCAATACTAATTAATAAGAAAACATATTGTCTAGAAATTAGCTTCAATATTTTACATTTAAAAATCAATAGGGACATTACAGCTTCAGATATAGCTCTGAATAGACCTAAGCAGACTGTTCTATAAATTATCTATGAAGTCTAAGAATGCTACAGATCTTGGAGAGGAATGGGCTACTTTGCTTTCTTATCTGTTTCCTTACATATTGTACATCATGCAACTTATCATACACAGGTTTTCTTGAAAACAACCCCTTTGCTGGGGGGGGGGGGGACAATGCTTGACCTTAATAGAACCCAGATAGCTCACTGTTATTTTCTGTGTCAGAGAACTACTCAGTTATAAAGTAGAATGATAATTATCTGGTATATCACAAAAGCTGTCCAGATTAAGAAGGCTGGAATATAGAAATTTGGACAAACTTCAACTCAATAACCCCCCAAACTACTGAAATACCTGTGGATTTTCACACAGGAAAATAGATTCTTCAAAATTGATGTGGTACTTTCTTATTCGTTGCATCAAACCCATCTTTTTACAGGCTGGGCAGCATCCATCTGGAGTTACTTCGGCAGAATTACAATTCTAAAATTATTAATACCAGACAATAAATGTACTGAGATGAAGGATCAAAACATAGCTAAATGATTTCTATGATAAGCAAAGCTAAATTTGACAGCATTGAAATAACACTAAAAACAAATAACAGAGATTAGAGCAAGTTATACCACTGATAATTTGACTTTTATACTGAGTGTTCACTTTTATTTACATTGAGCATAGACATTACTATAATTCTGAACTCCCATGTATATTTCATGAATTAGAACAAATATTTTCATATACACATTTGTCCTAAGTAAGATCTGAAAATAGTAAATCTTTCGCCATTTCAGTAAGATTTCCGTGGAAAAAATAATCTTATAAAAGATTAATAGAGGTCATATATTAAAATTAGACCTGTAGATCTTTTTTTTTTAAAACTCTCAAAATTGAGAAGGAATAAAAAGGAACTTTGCACAATGTGAAAAAGAACTGAACTGACTTTTCCCAAATACCCCACCATGTGGAGTGCAGATGTCCCTACATCAGTCACTTGCAAACCATTTCCAATCTTCTGGCAATCCATCATTCTGAGGCACTGGCTAAATTACCATGTCACTCGTAACATTTTCAACAGTCCTAAGGATTTTTTCCCCATATATCCTGAAAAATAAAAAGTGGACAGAAAAAAGTTACATAAGATTTTTCTCATAACAATTCTTAGAAAGTATAGCCTTGAAGAAACTCAGTGTATGGGGTTGGGATAAAAGGACAGTGCTTAATTATTGTACATCAAGGTGAATAACAAAGAATGGGGTAGCGGAATGTGACATACACTACAACGAAGATGCAATGTATCTAACTAAACTTAGAAATTCACATTTCTTACAAAACAGGTGAATTAACTACCTCAATGCTCTTTAAAATATTGCTGCTTTTGGTCTGTGCTAGAAGCAAGAGAGAATGAAATGTTTCAACAGGTCAGCCGCTATCTATGCTCTTTATTTGGTCCAAACTCATCACAGGATATGACTTCACGTTTTATCCTGGTTCAGGTAGAAAGAATTACGTATATTGTATGCTAGGCTTCCTGTGGTGCACCAGACTTGTCCCTACAACTCATGGGCTTTTGAGTGATACTTCCACTCCTCTCTTGAGCCCCATTCCTCCTATAAATAATCTGGTTTGCAGGAACTCCAGCTAGATACAAGCAGGCAGAGCTCTATGCTTTTTCAGGAAAAAGATCCTGGATGCTCAAGAAGGTTCTTGGAGAGCCAGCTGTCTTGCACTTCCACCAACTAGGGAAAGAGGGGGATGGCATAAACCTTTCTGTATAAAGCAGAGAACATCAGGCAGGGTAACACAGGAAGGAACACAGGAACAAACAGGCCTCCAGTTTGTTCAGTGCAGAGCACTTGTTTCATGAAGGAGAAGAGGAGTGACGGTTCCCTGCTTCTTTCTGCACAGGGAAATTAATTACATCAGGAGGCTGGGTTTTTGACAACAGATGAAGCCTTCATCCCTTAAGACCTACTACTCATATCAGGCAAGTGAAAGCTGATCCTGGGCCAGCTCTAGCTCCCCATCCCAGGTATATGTGATATTATTATGTACTGCAGTGTTGTCCAAACTCAGCCACTTTAAGATGAGTGGACTTCAACTCCCAGAATTCCCCAGCCAGCATGTCCACTCATCTTAAAGCCAGAAGTCCACTCATCTTAAAGTGGCCAAGTTTGGACAACACTGATGTACTGTATGATGGCACATAATACCACCTGTCCTACTTTTTAGATCTAGATCTAGGAAGCTTTGTGGACACAGCCTTAGCTTCAGATCCCATTCTTATTAGCTTTAATTAATTTTAGTTATGGTGTTCAGAAATACTTTCCCAGCATCCAAGGCAAAAAGAGGAAAATATAGAAAAATAACAATGAAAACAAGGCTATGATAAAAGGGACTACAGATGCAAACAATAAACAAAGTTAATTAATATTAGGCCGTAATCCATTCAGAATCACAGAACTGTAGTGTTGGAAAACGCTATTTAGGCTGTCACCCTGCTTAGTGCAGGAATCCAGATTAAAGCATCCAGGACAGATAGCTGTTTAGTCTCTGCTTGAAAACATCCAATGAAGGAGAATCTACTTCAGTGGGTAACTAACTCACTATCAACTTGTGCGTGCTTTTTTTCAAAATATTCAATCAGAATCTCTCGTGTAGCAGTTAAGGTAGCAGGCTAGAAACCATGAGACCATGAGTTCTAGTTCCGCCTTAGGCACAAAACCAACTGGGTGATCTTGGGCCAGTCACTCACTCTCAGCCCTAGAAAGGAGGCAATGGCAAACCACTTCCAAAATCTTACCACGAAAACTGCAGAGATTAGACCAGGCAATTGCCAGGAGTCAACACTGATTTGAAGGCACAATAATAATTATTTTTTTAAAATCCCTATCTTGCATTCTGAAATGAAAAATAAGTCTTGGCCTTCTATTTAACATCCTTTCAGATATCTGAAGAATGCTATCATATCCCAACTTTTCTCAAGGCTACACATATGCACCTTTTTTCAATTTCTCATCATAGGGCTTACATTCTAGTGCTCTGATCATTCTCACTGCCCATTTCTGAATCCATTTCAATTTTTCTTAATTTTTCTTAATACTGAGGTATCCAGATACTGGACACAATACTTGAGATGGAGTCTGACCAAAGCAGAAGTGAATGGAATGATTACTTCCTGTAAATGGATTTTTTGTTGTTGTTGACAGAGCCTAAAACTATAACCCACCATTGAGAGAACTACACATTTACCTTGTATTCTTTAATCTGTGATTTCTATGGGGAAAAATCGTATACCTTATGATCTGATCAAAAGCATTTGATGATTTGGCAATCTTATGAGATTGAATATTTTTTAAGAAAATGGAGGTGATGGACACACCTAATTTTGATGATTTGGCAATCTTATGAGATTGAATATT